AAAAAAAAAAAACACTTTCCTTCATCCAGTTTATTTTATTGTTAGGATACAATACATATAATATGCTAAATATGTGCTAATTGGCTATTTTTGTTATCAGTAGCCCTTCCAAACTGTAGGCTATTAGGAATTTAAGTTTTGGGGAGTTTATAGGCTCTGGGTGGGGGAGCGGTCCGCCTTCCTAATCCCTGCATTGTCCAAGTGTTAACTACATAATAAGGTATTGCACAATTAACAAGAAAATGTTGAATGGTCCTCTACAGGATGTCCCCAAAGTTGTCCCCCTCCAATCACCATACACAGGAAAAATGGGAAATTTTAAAGCTAAATGTACCTTTATTTACAACATGAAGAGAATATTTTGTACATTTTTAAAAACTAGTCAAAGGCAATGGAAAGAAAGCTAACAAATAAGCTTTTAGCTAACAAGAAAGCTAACAAAAAACCTGAACCTTAACAATAAGAATATCATGAAAAAAGCAATGATAAGAAACAATGATAACTAAAGAAAACATTAAACTGGCAAGCCATTTTAAAAGTAGTAATTCTAACGTTGGTGAGAGTAAAACAATTCTAGAATACCACCACTGAGTTTGATATCTGGCAGGGCCCTTCTGAAAAAAAGGGAGGCAGAATGTATCCAAAAAACTTCTAAAATGTTCCTAGTGTCTGATTCTTTAGTACCTCTTGTGAGAATTCATCCTCAGGAAAACATACTCACAGGGTTTGAGCATGATGTCTTTGGATGATCCTTATTATAGTTTGGTGATGTAAACACTTTTATTATTTCCATATTCTAGTCGAGGAAGCCAAAATCCAGAGAGATTGAGTGAGTTGTCCAAAATCCCACAAGTCATGCCTGGATCAGGCATGCCTGGATCAGCTCTTCCAGGTCTCTCCTTCACAGTTATTGTTTATGCTGAAAATGTTTGTTTCAATAATTATTTGGTACTTTCTACCTGCCACATTCAATGTTAAGTTCTGGATCTATGAAGATAATAATAAAACGTAATATAAATGAAACATTTTCTATGTGCTTACAAACTTCTTGGATGATGGATTATAGATGGATTATGTGATCTTATTCTAGCAACCACCCTTTATATTCTTTCTGTTCTTTGTTTCAACAAGGAAGCTGAGTAACTCTCCAAAGGTCAGATAACTGAGTTAACAAGCTAACCTGAGCAATCTTATTCCAGAGTTTCATCTTTTTTTTTTCAGTTTTTAGTTTCTTATGAACTTGTAAACAAAAAAGCTCCCGTTTCAAAATAAAAACAAAATCCCAGATCATATAGATGTTTACAGTGATTACATTTATCTAAGCAACATACGTACATGTTCAGTTGTAAGATGTTAACTAAATTTCTGTGACAAATATGCTTTTTTTAATACCAAGAACATTATAGAGTTAATGCAGAGTCCTGAGGATAATCTAGTAGTCACTAAGTTTTTCTTAAGTCTTCACTTTAAATGCTGTTATTTCTAGCACAGGTAAGCAGGCAGAGTCTTTCAAATGCTCAAACACTGGAATCTTTGGTTGCTACCACATCAGCTGGCTTGCAAGCAAGAAGCCAACCACTTTAAGAATGTTTTAAGTGAACAACTTGCAAACCCCAGGGATGGAAAAACCCTAAGAATGCACAATTGTGAGCATTTACAACCATCACAACTGTGGCTGAAGACTGTTCATGCCGTTCTTCTGATATGAGATCTTAAAGTAGTATAGTTCAAAATAAAAAGTTTTAACAAAAAATTGGCACATGCACAATTTCTCCACCAATTTGTGTGTTAACCATTCAGTTAACTTTTCCACTTGAAAAAATGCAATAGAAAACTGGACACCATGTTTCACTATCTCAGTTAATATTCACAAGTACAGTGGCTACAACTCAGGATACAGCATCACCAAGGCTGCCCAGAGTCAGTTTATACTGAAATTAAGTTCTTTGCACCAAGAGTGCAAATGGTTGTCCACAACCACTGGCTAGTGTACATATGAACTAAAATTTCTAGATTTGGGGAGAAACAAACGCTGCTCCAATCATCTGCTCTGCTTCTTCTGTTCCTCAATTCATGCTTAGAAACCTTTCACGTTACTCTTGGTTTTGTCAGTTTGCTTGCCTGTGGGGGTTTGGGCCTGCTGACCTTGCCCACTGGAAGAGGCTGCCTGCTGTGCTGCTTTCTGCTTTAACATTGTCCAATCAAATGTGTAGTCATATTGGTGGTTCAGGGTCCTGAAAAGAATGCGGAATAGCTGCCTCAGATACATGTAATCTGGGGCTTCTTCAAAGCGCAGCCCACGACAATAGTTTAAGTACATGGCAAATTCTGCAGGAAACCCCTTACATAAAACTTCAACAGGAGTAGACATCTTCTTTTCACTAATCTTTTCATATTTTTGCTTCTTTGTTGCAGCCTTTAGTCCTTGCCATGGCAGGCTGGTTCTATTAAAATACATCAAAACATATCCTAATGATTCCATGTCATCTCGGCGACTCTGCTCAATACCAAGATGTGCATTGATGCTAGCATATCGAGCAGTGCCAGTGAGGTTTTTATCTTCTCTGTATGGTATGTGCTGTCTTGTCTTGTTGTCTCTGTATTTTTTTGCCAAACCAAAATCAATAAGGAATAACTTATTACAGTGACGCCCAATACCCATTAGGAAGTTATCCGGTTTAATGTCTCTGTGTATAAAATTCTTTGTATGCACATATTCAATTCTGATGATCATCTGGTCAGCTAACATAAGTACAGTTTTCATTGTGAATTTTCTTGAACAGAAATTGAAGAGGTCTTCAAGGCTGGGTCCCAGAAGATCCATGACTAGTACATTATAGTCTTTTTCCTGACCATACCACCGTATGTGGGGGATGCCAACCCCACCTTGAAGAATCTTATAGAGTTTGCTCTCGTACAGCAACTGGGGATGCCTGGCCTTCTCAGATTCTAGCTTCACTGCCACTTCCTCGCCGTTGGTGATGTTGATGGCCAGGTAAATGTCCCCGAAGGAGCCAGACCCGATCTTCCGTACCAGTTTATATTTCCCTCCCACAATGAATTCGGCCTTGGAGCTGCTGCTGCTCGCCATTCTGAGAGACGAAAATGGAGGCTGGGGCCAAGCCCCGACACCTCTGAGAGAACGACGGAGGCCCGGGCGGCAGGAAACGGAACACGGAGGCTTCCTCGGCGCTACCGGGCCCAGAATCAGTCAAGGAGAACCTGATCCCAACCGCCCAGTAGGGATTCTTTCTGCCAGGCCGGAGTTTGTGAGGTGTTCTCGCGGTTCCTAGGCTGGGCCACTTGTTTCCGGAAGGCTGCCACTTCCTGGCCTTCGCAGCGACGTTGTGGGCTGGAAAAAAGGCGCCGTGAACTACGGCGGCTCGGCCCAGAGGGACCCCTGTCACTCCGCCGACGCCGCCATCTTGTTACTCCGCTCCAGCCAACACAAAATCCAGAGTTTCATCTTTTAACCACGACACTGAATTCTCTCTCCCAAGAAGGACCACCTGCAGATTCTGTCCTCCAAGAGCCCCAGCATAGTTGCCAGGAGACAGATTTGTTATGGTTTAGGATGCTAAACACCATCACTGTGTGATCCTGGGGAAGAGACTAGCATAACTACACGTGGTCCTCCTGGAGCTGACCATGTGGGTGGTACTATTAACATTTGTAAGATCAGTTGTATTTGTATTTGTAACTTCAGATAATTGTATATCTTCTAAGAAGGCTCTGAAATAAAATACATATATTTTTACTTATTCATTGATTGAAAAGTCTATACATGCTTTGATCCCCCTATATATTAATAAAGCAAAAGAAACTATAAATAGTCATAAAAAGATAATGGAATGAAGTCTATTAAAATGTTAAAAAGGTCTATCTCTGCTCTCACCAATGAAAGGATTGTTTCTTTTCTTTTCTATTTATCTTTATAGTTGCTTTGCTTTTATAACCAGACAAATGCTAGACATAATAGAATTGCCCCTCTGAGCTCAGGGGTTCCACATCCAGGATTCAATCCATCATGGATTAAAAATATTCCCCCCAAAGAAAACACTGAATAATAACAGTGCAACAATAAAAATAATACAAATAAAAAATACAATATGACAAATATTTACATTGCATTAGGTATTATAAGTAATCTAGAGATGATTTTAAGTAGGATTTCTGGAGTATATAGGCAAATACTATACCATTTTATCACTTATATAGAACTTGAGCATCCTGGATTTTGGTATTCACAGGGGTCCTGGAATGAATATCTCATGATACCAGGGATGACTGTTTAATTTCAACATATGTGATGATATAAATAATATGTCAAACATTTAATTGGCAACCTCCTGGGGGTTGCCACATAATCCAGTAAGTATTTATATGGGTACCTAGGGGCAAAGGACAGAGATCACTGTGTGAACTTAGTGATTCCTCAAGTTCAATCTTGCCTTTCAAACTTATGTGTTGGGTAAATGTGGGGGCCTTCATACTGGTCTGTCCTGGGAGAATTTGGAGAACACTTAGAGTGAATTGGGACAGTAGAAGCGAGAGAAGGGTAGACCCCACTTCAGATGCAATTAAGAATTTTATTGATAATTTGAAACACCTGCAGGCAGGCTGAAACACCAATAAGGCAGCCTCGAGTGGCAGGTGAAGGGCTCTTTTATACCGTGCTCAGCAAGCTAGTGCAATACAGAAGCCAATCACAGTGGTTAAAGCAGGGGTCGCAAGGTTGGGGTACACATTGGCTCATAATCACAAGCTATATCACAAGTACATTACTTCATAATCATAAGATGGGGTATGTCATAGGGGTTTACACAATTCAGGATGGAAGTACATGGTAACTTAGACATTAACTCATAGTTCAGGGGTACAAATTGGGTAACACTGGGGCTTAATTTGGAATCCAAGCCCTCCCTTCCTTCCTTTCATCTCTTTAAGCTTCTTCCCAGAACTTAACTTCCCCTCCCTTGTGGGAGGAGCTGAAGCTAAGAGTAATTCTTTTTATGGGTACAAGAAGTTTGTTGCCTTTCTTACTAGTCCTGGGGGTTAGGGCTGGGGGCTTGGTTATTAAAGAGAACTAAAAATAGACCTACCATTTTATCCTACAATTGCTCTACTAGGCATATATCCAGAAGACCAAAAATCACACTACAACAAGGATATTTGTACCAGAATGTTTATTGCAGCCCAATTCATAATTGCTAGGTCATGGAAGAAGACCAAGTGCCCATCGACCCATGAATGGATCAATAAATTGTGGTA